ACGTGGCGTCGCCCGCCGTGTGGCGAGAGAAGATCGCCGAGTACTACGGCATCAGCGTGGACGAGGCCAAGCAGTTGTTGAATCGCTTGGTGCATCCTCGAGGCAGGTGCCGCCCGGACGAAGAGTGGGAGCCGGGCGCCGGGGACAGGGGCTCCCACGTCTTGCCGTGCGTGCTGGAGCTTCGGCATCAGCTGAGGGAAGCGATCTCCCTGATCGCAGCGAAGTCGCCGCGGTTTGAGCACATCGCGAACATGGAGAAGGCGAAGAGCGCGGAGCACCCCGATTCCACCGCCATCGCTTTGTTCCTGCAGGACTCCGAGAACGCCGCGCTGGGACTGCTGCTTGACTTCCAGAGCTACCACAACATTCAGCCCGTGTGCCTCTGCTTCGACGCTGTCTACTTCGTTCCGCCGCCGTACCTGCTGGTGGGCGACCGGTTGCGGCAGCTCGCGCAGACGGCGTCAGACACGATGTTCGCCGCCGGCGGTGTCCGCATCAAGTCGTCGCGCGCATCCCGAGAGCAGTCCGCCCAGGACGACGCGTCGGCGAGCTTGGCGTTCTACCAGCACGCGCTAGTGCGCCGACAACTCGCGGCACCCATGAGAGCAACGCGCACCGGCGTGCCGCCAGAGGAGCCGCCTGTGAAACGAGCGAGGTTCTTCGGCAAGCGGTCTCCGCGCGCCGCCAACGAGGCCGTGTACGCTCAGTGTTTGGCTGCTGGAAACAATTGCATTCCGTGGTCGTTCCTCGCCCTGTCCAAGCATCTCGCGCGCTCTCAGAAATTCCTTGATTTTGCTTTCTCTTCTGGCCCCCACAGCTACGCAGACGCGGCCGACGCGGCGCGGGAGTTCCACTCGCTGGATTTAGTGGACCACGTCGACCTGCAGTCCCTCGAGCCTGGCGGGTACATCCTCCATCCTCGCGGAGATCCTGGCCACGGCGACCCGCTGGTGATCTCCTCGGACGAGCCGCCCGTGGTTCTCCTGCGGGGCGCGGGCGGCGCCCCAGAGCCCTGCGTCGTGGACCTGGCCACGCAGCGCTGCGACGTCGCCTGGGCGTTCCGCGGCCCTGCGACCGACGGGCGCGACGTTCGCTCGGACGAGCGTCTCCGCGAGATGGCTGGCGCCGATGACGAGGGCGAGGTCCTGCTCCCCGTGGTTGACGACGAGGGCGAGGGCGGCCCGAGCGAGGGGGAAGACGACAGGATGAAGGAGGGGGAGCGGGCGTTCTGGGAGTCGCTGAAGAGGGAGTGTCGGGAGTATCTGGGCCTGTTGGAGGGCGGCGGCGCGCTGGATACCTGCGCGTGCAAGAAGTGCGCGTTCCGGGCGTTTGCGGAGAGAAGAAAATTGGTGCACCACGTGAAGACCTATCACACGGAGGAGAGGGGGTACTCGGCCTGCAGCATGGGCGCCCAGCTCAAGATTGCCAGGGCGATCTTCAATCAGCGGAGAGTGTGTTCGATTCTCCATCCCGGGGCACTGCCTGACGACTTGCTGTCCTCGGCGGCCGCGCTCATCCGCGATTGGTGCCGGCCTCCCGAGCAGGTGCTCGGAGTGCTGAGGCGGTCCAACGAGCTTCAACTCGTCGCGGTGTGGACAGAGAGCGGGGCCGTGATGAAATTGAAGAGCCAGACTGGGGATGCCCGGCGCCTGGGCGCCAAGGTGTATTACGCGGCCGGTTTTCAGGACCTGATCACGTCAATCGTCCTGCGCCGCAAATTCCACCTCGCGACCGTCCTGCAGGACCTCGTGGCGCTCTGGGCGCCGGACAACCGGGCGACGTTGCTGTTCGGGAGGCAGGCCCAAGAGTCGATCTGCGAGCTCGTGGATCACATCTTCACCTCCCCTGAGAGCGGCGTGGTTTCAATGGCGAAGCAGGTCGTTGACGCGGCAGTGGCGAACGGGGAGTTCAAATGCATCAGCCACGACGCCGCGTTCAAAGCCGCGTTCTCCATCATCGGGCAGACGCCCATGTCGCAGAAGGCAGGCGAAGTTGACGCGCTCCACACTTTCGTGGCGCAGTCTGGGCTTTGTCCAGGGCGGAGCGGGCAGCGCTCGGAGGGGGGAGATGATTTCGCGCGAGCTCTCGCCGAGCTCCTGCCGCAGTCGGCGATCTCGCAGGTGGAATGCATTCTGTCGGATTCCCCGAGCGAGTGCTTCCTCCGCCGCCTGCCGAACTGCCGCGGAGTGGCGGAAGACCCCGTGCGCTTATCGATGAGGATCGACGGGTGCACCCACGAGCGCAGGACAGCGCTGTCATGGCGAGTGCTGAAGCTGCACAAGAAGTTCCAGTGCCCCGCGCCGCCGGAGTGGGACATTTACCACGGCGAGCGCAAACCCATTCCCGAGTGGGACAAGGTTCGGCCAGGACGAGTGTTCACCGATGCCCAGTGGGCGGCGTGCATCGAGAAGCCGTTCACCAGGGTGCGCGAATGCATCGGGGCCCTCCAGCGCATCGCGTTGATGTACCTGAGCACTTTGACCCGCAAAGATCTGAAGGGGGTGTCAGTGCTGGTGCACCTTCAGCGCGCGGGCTCGCACTTCTATTTCACGCAGAACGTGTCCGTGTTCAGGCGCCTGCACCCGGACGTGCTGAAGAGCACGATGCGGAACGAGGCCATCCATCGCCAGGTGAAGGACCGGGGGCGCTGCGTGTATCAGTGCCACCGGGAGCGCATCGTCCTCGGGGGCAAGATTTTCGGCATCTACAAGGCGCTCGCGCACTCCTGCAAGCAGGGCACCGTGGTTCTTCGCGAGGGGTGGATGATCGCGGGGTTCCCCACGTGGGGTTGAGGTAGACGGGGAGTCGGAGGGTCGCGCCGCATCGTTGTTGCATCGGCGATGCAGCGCAAACCTGAGCCAGTTTTTCTCCGCCCCAGCGTCGCCGACGCATCGCCGATGCATCTGCGATGCGGCGCGTTCTTCCGACCCCCCCGCCCCCCCGCGTGCTTCGACCCCATTTGGGTAGCCTCCAGGATCGCGCTGCTCGCGGGTGCCCTCTCCAAGGGAGTGACGCCCGCGTTTGCGAGCGGCGCTCTGGTCGCCATCGCAGACCGCGCGCAGCTGCGCACGCCCATAGTGGCCGCGTCCGAGGAGGGGGCCGCGCGCCGCGCAGACCTCCGCGCATCCCAGCGGGATCGCGCCGCTGCCCAGCGAGCCCTTGACGTGAGCCGAAAGGCCAAGCGGTCCCGCTGAGGGCCTGCCGCGGGCCACGGCCCGCCCTCCTCGCCGCAACGTACAGGCGCGCAGGGGGCTGGCATCCCGACGCGCGCGCGCCGGCGCGCCCTTCCATTCTCGTTAATCCGATGCCGAGCGCGACGACCGTCGTCTCGGCCTGCGCTCCTTTTCCTTCTCGTCCTCTCCCTCTTTCACTCCGTGGCGTAGATTGTTCGCTGCATTCTCGACTCGGTTCTCGGGCGTCCAAGGCCCCATTTTTTTTTCGCAGCCGCCCTTCGCTGCACTCGCCGTGTTCGTTCCGGAGGCCGTCGGGAAAGGATGCGCGCGCATGCGCATATGTGCAATCCACCGCGTGCTCGCGTTTGTGCACGCGTGCAAACCTACTGTTGAGACCAGCGTGCGCATTGGACGCACTGGATTGCATCACCACGTCTGTGCAAGCACGCGCGCAGCATGTGTGTGCATACACATGCACATTATAAACATACACATGTGCACGTGCAGTGCATATGCTGACGGACATGCGCATGATCATGCATGAATGTGCGCTGTACGTGCGCACGCACACGTACACAATACACAACCGACACATGTGTGTACAGTATACGTGCACAGGGTACCTCTCGTTTTCCCTGGTCTCCCAAGCGCACGCATATATAAAATATTCATATGCGCGCTGCATGACTTTCTGTATATGGGTGTCGGAAAGTACGTCGAAGTATGGGCGCGCATCTCGCGTGTGTAGTCTGAGCATGTGTATATATACACGTATTCATATACATATATACATATACCTGTATACACACATATATGCATATATATATATATATATATATATATATATATTGTTAGTTACACATGTGTATGTGAATAATTTATATACGTGTACGCATTTCTTGGATGTTGACAAATTTGAATTTCTATGCGTATTGTAATTAATGATTATGTTGAACCCGCGTGTTCATTTACGCCGTACACATATGTTGTATGCATATGTATGTATGTAAGTATATCTTTATATACATATATACGCGAATGTGTTTTTGTGATATTTATATATATGCACGGTTACCGATTGTATTGATGTGGTTACATGTATTTATCATACAGGTGTGTGCATACATTGTATAGTGAATATTGTCACATTTCGTTGTTTAATATATACACATAATCAGATTGTAGATGTCTTAACCGAATCATTATTTAACAACCCATACATACACTACGTCTAAGTATGCGTGCGCACCACGCCTGAATAATATGTACATGTATATATTTGATCATATTTATACATACATGTATATGCGCGCATGCACACCTTATGTGTACTTACCATACACACTCATAATACTTACAACACATTTACATGTTGCGTGCTGTTGTGCACCCACAGTCAAATGGTACCCGATCCCGCAAATGGTATCCCGATCCTTCGGCACCTGGTTTGTGGCACACTTCATGTGCGGAGATATACATACCACATATATATATATATATATATATATGTGTAAACACACCATATATGCATTATGCCACATACACATATATCGCTTCCAAAAAGCATACTAATTGTATGCTTGTGTACACCCACATCAAATGGTACCGAATCCAGCACCTTACGGAGCCCCCCCCTCTCTCCGTGCCAGGGGGCAGCGCAGCTAGCAGGTCGTGGCGAAAGCAAACACACACACACACCACGCAGCCACTCGCGAGGGTCTCCCCGTGGTCGCCAGCTTGTGGCACCAGAGGCTCGGGAATCCACGGAGCGCGTCCGAGCATGGCTGCCAACAGCGGCTGCCAGAATCTAGCACGGCCCCCCCGCTCCTGCAGGGCGGTGACCTCGGTTTCCCGCAGCTGCAGCGTGGTCTCCGCGCGCGTGGCGCGGCCCTTCTCGACCAGCAGGCGGTCGAGCAGGTCGTCCTCTGCGCTCCTCGGCGCGGCGCCGCCGGGTTCGCGACGGGGCGAGGGAGGAGGACGAGAAGGGAGGAGGAGCGGGAGGAGGAGGAGGAGGAGGAGGAGGAGGAGGAGGAGGAGGGAGGAGGAGGAGGAGGAGGAGGAGGAGGAGGGAGGGACGAGGAGGAGGACGGACGAGAGGAGGAGGAGGAGGAGGAGGAGGAGGAGGAGGAGGAGGAGGAGGAGGAGGAGGAGGGGGAGGAGGAGAAGGAGGAGGAGGAGGAGGAGGAGGAGGAGGAAGAGGACCAATGTGAACCCGAGACGCGTCAACGATGTTGCAAGAACTCATCCCTGCAACTTCCCTCTTGATAGGTCCCTGCAATAATTCATCTTCATTGCGAGAAGGGGAGACAACCGTCTGATAATCCTCAAGCGTGCCAAATCACAGTTCCTGGCACTTCAACGCCGCGAAACAACGTTTTCGTTGCGTCCTGACAATTCTCGATCGCACCAAAACGCAATTCCTGGCATTTCAACATCGCGAATCAACGTGACTGCTGCGTCCTGACAATCCTAAATCGCGCCAGACCGCCATTCCGGGGACTTCAACCCTACGAATCCAAAGAGAATGCAGCACTTTATAAAACGAATGTGCGCGGCGCTAAGGCGATAACCACATTCTGAAAAGGAACCGCCCTGTATTCTTGAAGCCGTTGTGAATTTTTACAACGATTGCGCGCGGTGTTAAGGCGATATTGGCAGGTTGGAAATTACTTGACCTTTAGCCTTGACACTGTTGCACACTGCACACTTCAAGATCGTAAATGGTGAGGAGGTCGCAAGCGAAACGTCTGGCCCGCCCTGCCGACACGTCAGAGGTGCGACAGGGAGGGGGTACCCATAAGGAAAAGGGGAGGAGGAGGAGGAGGAGGAGGAGGAGGAGGAGGAGGAGGAGGCGGAGGAGGAGGAGGAGCAGGAGGAATAGGAGAGGGAGGAGGAATAGGAGGGGGAGGAGAGGGGGGGCCAGACGCCGAATAAGAGGAGAAAGGAAGGCGGCGGCTGCCTGGGCGGCGGCCTCCCAAGCTGCTGCTCCTCGAAGGGCGTTCTCCCGCCCGGCCCCACCCGAGCGAGGCTGGTACGAGGGTGCCCAGGTCATGCCCTCGACCCTCGGGGATCGAGGATGGAGCTTTTCAGGCATCTGGTACCCTCTGGATGCCCTCTGGCGGCCTCCAGGGCCCCCCAGGGGTGAGGATCCGGGGAGGAAGCAAAACTTACCAGGCGGGCCAGGGGGGGCGCAAGCATGCGTTTCCACCCGCTCGACACCTAGGGGTAGATTGAAGACCTACCTCAGTTGGATCACTCCAGAGTCAAGGTGTTCCACCGACCAGCGCGGTCGTTTCCATTCCCGATTTGCTGTTTTTCGTCTTTCAGAAGAGGGTCGGGGCCCTCCCCGAATGGCTGAAGCCTCCCTCCGTGCTCCAAGCTGCCTGATGACTCCGTCTCCCACCGCTCCGTCCTCGTTTCCTTTCCCCCGTCATTGGCCTCATCCTCTACGTCCTCCTCCTCCTCCGCCGCCTCCTCCTCCTGTCACTCCTTCTTCTGTTCCTCGTTCTTCCCCCCCTGTGAAGATGCGATTTCTGATATGTGCTGCGATGGGCGCACACTATTTTCCGTGTATCGCTTGACGCTCAAGGGCCTTGTGAGCCATGCTTACGGAGCGATACGGGTGAGACGAGGGGCAAACGCTGGGCAGTCCAGCAGTCTCGCTTTCACACTCGTTCTAAGATTATGTTGCACCTTGTCGATCAAAAAGCAAAAGCATGGATGGCACGCAGCGTGCCAGCACATGAAACTCCAGGGGCCGACTGCGGGCGATCCGCCATGCTCTCCAACGGCAGGCCTCAATACAAAAATGCTTGCGAAAAGAATGCAAGCAGGCGGACGACAGGCCCTAGGATATCTGAATATGGAATCCGGCTCGCTTGAAATATCTCAAACCCAATGCTCCCAATATGTAGACCATGAACTCATCATGATATTCTGGTCGTCGTCTGCCTCAGGCGGGGTGTCTAGGTGAAACATTACATGTCCACTCATCGCATTACGTATCTGTGATCCATCCTTTTTGTTACTGCATCAGCCACCACATACTTAGTGGGGCACCATGCCAACGGCAACTTCGATCTAATTGCGGTGGCCACCTCTTCCACAACTTCGTCCTCCAACAACTCACGTAGCCCAGTCAAATCCAACGCCGGGCGTTTCTCAGCAGGCAACTTCCCTGCTCCTTCGCGAAGCACTGTGTCATATAGTGAATCACAATCCGTCACACATGGAATCGCACACAAGTCTGGGTCAATATCATCGATACTCAAATTATGATACAGAAAGTTAAGGATAGAAGCGCGCATCACAGTGGCTGCGCTCAAAGCGTCCACTGCACTCATTGTCTCGGCAAGAACGGTGCTGCGGCATACTCTCCTGATGGTGGCGGACCTCCAGTCAACCAACGCAGCCTTGCCCTCGCCGTTCTCGAGGATCTTCTTCTCGGTCACAAATGCCAACAAGTCTGCTTGCCTTTTAGCCTTCAACCTTTTCGGGGCCTCCGAAGCGAAAGCTGTCTTGCATCGACGCCTGCGCCGCCAGGCTGCGCCGGATACTTTGTCGTCGGGCTCGTCCACGTTAGCACGCGCAGCATCGTGAAATAAAGAACGCATAGCTCGCCATCCAACTTCGGAGTCGTGATGGCAGTCTCGTTGTAGCGCTTGGCCTCTGCCACTATGCGGGTCGTGTCGATCAAGTCGGCGACGGTCGGCGAGTTCGGCATTCGCTGTGCCATTGAAGCTCCCGCTGTTAGGTCAAGTCGAATCTGCATATCAAGCCGTCCCAAGCTTCCGATCAATGTCGGGTTCTCGGCGGTCTCGATCTCCGCGGCAGAGCGTCCGAGATCTCTCTTGCGCTCCTTTGTCAACTCGAGCGGCTCTGACTTTTCGGCAAGCGCTGCCGAAGACATGCGAATGGCCCCGTCTGGCCGTCGAACAACATCCTTAGCGCAGACAATGAAATCGAATCCTTGCCAACCTCCGAATGGAAATCAACTCTTGATACTCCTGTTGCTGGCTTAGGTGCTGGCTATAATCAGCAAGTCATCCACATGCGCGCAAACGATGGCTTGCACGGTCCCATCTGATCCATGTTCCACGAATAAAGCTGGGTCCACCAAACTCTGAACTAAATTGAACTTCTGGTTCTGGCTGCTCACGAGCTTGACCTTCAGTGGGGCGTTCCTGAGCGTGGCCCGCCATTATTCTGGAGCGGTGGCCCCACCGAAAATCCCCTTGACAATTCGAAGCGCCTGTCCTGGTTGAAGTCCTGGTAGACCTTGCGGTGGCTGCTCCATGAACAAGGGCTTGTCTCTTGGCTGCTTCTCCCCTTGCATGAAAGCGAACGTGATGTCGGCGAGTACTGGGTCCCACTCATACCGAGCTGCCATTATGAAGAACAACAAGGAACTGGTTCTGGTCACTGTAGGCGAATCAGTTCGGAGAGCTCCAGTCTGTAGATCTGGGTCGCGATGTCCTCCAGCACAGAGTCTGGCCTTGGACTTCACCGGCGCGGGTTTTGGCCTCCGTGCGGATGGTGGCGTTCTTGTCCCGGAACACGAACCTGGACGGCAGAAACCGGTTGCTGTCGTTCTCCTGTCGTGCTTGCTGAGATCCTTCTAGAGATAAGCGTCCAGTGAGCCATATTTCTCCCACTCCTCCCAGCGCTCCGCGATGGCCTTCTGGCAGAGCGGCTTGTGCTCCTTAGGGGTGTCCTTCCTGGCAATCTCCTTCTCCTGCAGCTTCTTCCTGAGTCTCTCACTCTGGGCTCGAGCTCCACGAAGCATGACGGCGCAACTGAATTGGTGGTGGTGCCCTCGTCGCTGTCGTGGGCCATACTGACGTAGTATGGTTGTCCAACTTGTCGCGCGGCTTGTCGTGTGCCGTTCTGTCGTGTGGCCTCTTCTTGCTGATGTCTTCCTCGAATGCCTTGAGGTGCATCGTCGAGCGGGTTATAGACGTCTCGACGTCGCTGGTACTCCTCGCTGTTCCGGTCTCTGCGAATCGGCTTAGCGCGATCCTGAACTTGTCCGGATGGCGGCGGGGAAACTGCCGTAGATGGATCCGTTACCTCGTCTGGCTGCTCTTGTGGGAGCTCATCAGCAGGTGAGGGCTCAACATCATCTCGAACTCCTGACGCGCCCTCAGTAGGTATCCCTGCGGGTTCCGCCTTCATCTCGACAGCTCCTCCTTCAGGTGGTGGTACTTCTCCTCGTGAACCTACGTGCCCCATGTCGGCGCTAGCGTCGGTATCGCGATGTAGTCGTTGAGGTTGATCAAGAGCTTCTCCATGTGGACCGTCGTTACCTGGCCACCAAGCTTCTCCAGTAGTCACTGGTCGAACGTGTTCTGGAGCTGCTAGCTTCGTGAAGCCGCCATGAGATATCCAATCGTTCTGACCCTACTTCCCCGCAGTCACAGCCGGTCCCAAACATGTGCCCCTCTTGACCGAGCCCTTCGCGAGCTGGCGGTAATAGAAGCAGAGGTCTCTTTGTTCCAGTGGATGTGGGTGTGCTCGGGTGCGTCCCAGTAGTTCCTTACGTGCCGTGCTGTCGTTCTGCATCTCCATGAAGGCTTTGCGAGCTGCAGTCCTCGTCGAGAGCTGTCTGTCCATAGGCTGTGGCTCTGCTCCTTCATGGGCCGCGTCGTGGTGGGCTCCGTCCACTAGATCTGCCGGCAGTCGTGCGCTCTTGCCGAATACCCACTGCTCTGGACTGAATCCACACTGACGGCGTAGTGCGTTCTTGGCGCCGGCGACGACAGAGGCGATGACCCGCGTGTCGGACTCTCTGAACGCTGCTGTAAATGCGATGGTCCTTTCGGCCAATTACTTCCACCATCCTCTTTGGCGCTCGGTGCGCCCATGCTGCCGCGTGGCCTGTCCCGCTGCCGGAACGATGGTCCATATTTGAGTAAACGCCCTAACCAAAGTGTCGGAATTGTGACTCTCGATCATGCCCACAACATGATACGTAGTACCCAAATCCACCACTGATCGGAAATCCCAAGCCTTGCCATCGATGTCCTTGCTCGTGAAACAATCCAGCCCGATCTGCTGTGTGCGACAACCTGGCTGGCCTCGCGATCTTCTTCCTCGCCTTACTCATGCAGGACGCGCAACGTAGTGACTTCGCTACGATCGCAACCTCCGGTCGACACCCTGAGGATCTCAATGATATCGCAAGGTCTTCGTTGCTGGTATGTCCTAGAGTCTGGTGTAGCTGACGTAGCGTGGCCAAGTCAATACTTGAACAATCTGAACTTCCAGGTCCGAGCTGGATAGCGTTAGCTCCAATGTCGTCCGCGACAGGCTCGGGTGTGTACCGCATCTGAATCTTCAGCTTGGCGGCGCGGTTCAACTTCGGCTTGGTCAAATCTGGGATGATGTCGGCCTTCTCGAAGTCCTGCAATGCCATGCCGGACTCGAGGTCTACGACCCTTCGTCGTCCAACTCGACTCCAATCAGGCCCGTCTGGTAACTGCGCCGGCAGCTCCGTGAAATCGCCCGCGTTCTCGCAATAGAACAACTCGTCGGATTCTCCGCCCATCAGGTCCATGAGGTCTCCTGTCGCGTAGACGCCGTACGTCGACGTGTAGTTGTGGTTGTTGTGCTGGTAAGCCTGCAGAACTGCCTTCGCGAGCTCCTGGGTGTAGCGTGCTGCCTTGCGCGTGTAATGCGCTCCCTCCAATTGGTTATGTTTGTGATCTCCGCCACGCTGATTGCCCGACTTCTTGACGCACTCATCGTTGGGGACCAGGAGCTAAGTCGGCTTCCGGACCTTCCCATCAGACGTCGGATGTCGTAAGTTGAGCTGGCGCATGTCGACTTTCACCCCCTTCGCTCTTGGATGCTCCCTTAAGCGCTTGACCTGCGGCTGCTTGAACACTTCTGAGGTCCAGGGGTGCTCGGATAATATGTCCCGCTTTCTGTTCAGATGCATCGTGCCTATCTCCTCCGCGAAGTCCAGCAGAGGTCGGTCCCTGATGCGCTTGCGATGTAGTTCCTGTTGTCTGACTTCTCCTCGGTAGTTGGCCCTCGTCAGCTGCGTCCGCAGGGTGCAGGGATGCTCCGCGGTAAGCAGCTTCGGCTTACGCGAGTGGTGAATCTGTAGAACTTTACGTCGATCTTGAACTTATCGAAGATTGCAAGTTGTAGATCTGATCGACCGGCTCGTATACCCTGATCCCCCTCCTGCAGAACTCCTCGGGTATAACAGCTTCTCCCGCGAAGATCTGCATGAGGTCGTAGCTTAAGTCGGTCTTGACGTTGCACGCGTCACAGAGGTCCTGGACGAGAGCATTGCCTTCTAAGAATAGCGGCCTCACCAGAAACGTGCCGACGAACATGGCCTGCCACGCGAGGAACCCGACAGCCTTCTTGATCATGTCCATGTAGCGCTTGATCTGTCCAGGCCCCATCTCACGCTTCACCCTGGCTGCCTTCGCACCTTTCCCTTCTGAGCTATCATCTCCCAGTCCTGGATCTCCTCCACGCCGACGTCTTCGGCTGCAATTGCCATGTCGCTTATCGACGAACTCCTTCGCCTCATCGGTGGTGCGTCGCTCTTGGGGCCTTCCGAGGGAAGTGATCTCGCTGGCGTTGCGAGATGCCCCTTCCGGAGCTCGGGTAGGATACTGGTCGCAGAAGCATCCTTCGAGGTCGTATACGGCGGCGCCTCGCCCTTGATCTCCTCCCTCTTGACAGCCTTCGGAATCTGTCCCAGCAGCAAGCGCGCGATGTTGTCCTTGATCATACTCCCGGATACCTTGATGTTGCGCTTCTTGGCCAGCTGGATGAGATCCGCCTTGCTTTTCTTGGCTAAGCCTCGATGCTCCGGATCTGGTGCTCGAGCTCCCCGTCGGTCTTGTCCGTTCTTGGTCCGCTGCTCGTTGGGAAGCACTCGCATCTCCCGGCAGCCCATACCTTGGCACTCCAACCCGTGGCTCTGCATCTCTTCCTGCAGCTCCACCTTGGCCATGGTCCCGAGCGGAAGTAGGCGGCGCGGTGCTGGCGACTCTCCAGGATCTCCTCCGTGCCATGCCTCCAGATCGCCACTGCCGGGTGCCTGGTCATTGCGATCACCGTGAACACTAACTTGAACACCTGCTTCCAACGCACCAGCGCTGCCGTGTTGTAGTGCTTCTTGGTATCCACATTGAGAACGCCACAGCTGTGAACCCATGCCAGCGCGCTGAGAGGCACCCGGATATGGAACAAAATGCTGGTCTCCTGAGACTGCTTGAACCGATCTTGGCTGCGTGCGGGGAATCTTATATTGGCCCAAACTTTCTCTTGTTTCGAATCGTACTCGTGTTGTTCGCCTTGCTTGCTGCTGCTGATCTGGTTTCCGGTCGTTTCCCCGACATTGGTCTTGATCTGCTTTCCGTTCGGGCTCTCCTGAAGCATCCTGAAGTTTAGCTCGGAGTGGCTCGGATCCTTCTCGTAGGTGCTGAAGTTGATCTCGCGCTGCTTCGGGTCGCTCTCAGACTGGTCGAAACTTATCTCGCTCTGATTCGGGTCGCTCTTGAACTGGTCGAAGGTTATCTCGCTTGGAGCCCCCTTTTGATCCATTGGAGGCCCCGGGATATCCCGAGCGTGTCCTTGGGGGGCCTCCAGAGCGCTATGATGATGGGCCAGCAACTCGTCCTTCGTAGCCATCATTACGTTCATCGTATCCGTCATCATCGCGTCGTTGACGAAGAAGGTCTGCTCGGCGATCTGCTGCTCCTTATTCTGCCAACTTGTGTAGTGCTGGTCGGTGCCGCCGTCTTCTTCCCGGTGGTCGTCGGCTGTCGTCATGTGTTCCTTTTTCGGCGGCCCAGGGCCTTCAGGATCTCCCTCCCAGTGTCCGAGCCGCTGACATACTGCACAGTGCGTCCTCGCTTTCAGCTTCTTGATGCGATCTGAGCCCCCCTCGCCTCCGGCGTTCGTCGAGTGGGTGCCCGGGCTTCCGCTGCTTCTGCCGCCGAGCGGCCGATCTCGATGGTAAATCCTCTCGCTTGATCGGCGTCCTTCTGACGATTCTTCGCTCTGGTCAACATCTTTTCCAACTTATATACTTCAACCTCCGCGTCGCTCTCTTCCTCGAGCAACTCCTCTGGCAGGTCATCGCCCTCCACTTGAGTCTCGAATTAATGTCTCGAAATTCTCATCCTCGTCGTCGTTCTCTGTCATCTGAGCTCCCCGACGTCTCTGTCTGACTCCTCCTCTTCATCTGGCGGGCTGTGCTGGTGCGGGTCTCCGGGGGTTGAACTTATCCAGTGCTCGAGCGTCCTTCGCGTTGAGTGGCGTCTGCTTCTGCAGCGGCGTGGGCTCATACTTATTCTGATTAGCGTTGAGCACTCCAGCCTCTCGATCTGGCGGCAGACCCAGCCGCCGCATGAACGACCGGGCTAGCGCCTGATCTGGGAACTCCATCTGTAGCGTCTTCAGCCTCGATGCCTGCGAGTCCAAGCGATTGACGTAATTGCTAACCTCCTCGCCGCTCTCGCGGCGCATCTTGGCGAAGAACGTCTCGAGCTCTCCGCCGCGCTCCATTGCCTTCTCGTCATCGTAGATATCGGCCAGAAAGTCTCACAGCATTTTTGGCCCCTTCTGCGCTCTGTAGCTCCAGCGGGTCGAGGTCCTCTGCGTGTGCCCGGGCGTCGCCCTGTAACTCTGCGCGCAGCTCCGCGGCCTGCTTCTCCGCGGGCAGGCGTGTGCGGATTCTGAGCGCTGCAACTCTCCGGCGGTGATCCTTCATCGGGTGGCGCTTTGATGTGCGGTCCACCTCCCGCCTGCGCAGCAACTGGGTCTCCTCCTTCCCCGGCGGCTCCTTGTCCGTCATCGGGCGGCTCCTGCCTGGGGGCCGTAGCTTAGGAATGCTGCTGACGAGACATCCGTCCAAGGTGAGACTCTGCTGACGGGCGATCCGTCGAAGCGGGCAATCCGCTGTGGTCCGTGGCCCCAACTGCTCCTGCTACCGTTGTGAAGATGCGACTTCTGGTGTGTGCTGCGATGGGCGCGCGCTTCTCTCCGCGCGTCGCCTGAAACCCAAGGGCCCTGGGGGCCATAATGTTTGCGGGGCGATGCGGATGAGGCGATGGGCATGCGCTGGGCAGTCCAGCACTCTCGCTTTCGCGCCCCCCCTCCCCCCCACCCCTCTGCCCCCTTCTGGCGGGCTTCGGGCGGCGCGGGCGAGCTCGCCCTTGCTGTTTCAAGTCCTGGCGGGCTCGCGCAGGGTCTGGCCCTTGGCCGCGCGGTCGGCCGAGGCGCGCGACCTCGCGGCGCGGAAGTCGCGCTCGCTGAAGTTGAGGGCGCGGGCGACCCGAGCGACCCATCTGAAGTTGCCGGTGGCGACGGCAACGCGAGCGGCCCTTCCTCGGCAGGCGCGGCGCGCTCGAGCGAAAATTCAGAGGCAGGGGCGGCCCGTGATATCTTATTGGCAGCGATGGCTCCAACTAAGCCCTGGCCTCCAGGCTGCACCTGGCGCGCGCTCGCGATGTCTGGGGCTGGCGAGCAGCGGGCGCGGGTAGTGCGACGAGCAGCCTGCGTGATGAATGCGGCTGGGTCGAGGAAGTATCGAGCTTGCGGTCAGAGCCGTTGACCGAACAAGGATGGCTTGCGGCGCAGATGCAGACCGCGACGTCGACGACCACGACGACCGCGACGGCGACCGCGACGACGACGACGACGACGGCGACGTCGACGACCACGTGTGAGCTCTGGGCACTCCAGAGCGCGAGGCCGACCCTGGCTGCGGGCAGGCCCGTGGGGCCGCAGCTGCTGCTGCCCGCCCCGCGGGGCGTCCGCGAGCGGTCCCTGGTCGTATCCGTCGATTGCCGAGCTGATGTTTCGATTCCAAGGCCCATGGTGAATGCGTTGTGACCGAAAGGATGGGGGAATGAGAAGAAGCGTGGTTAGGAAACGGACGAGGATGCGTACAGTCAAAAGGAGACAGGGAAGGGCGCCGCCCCCCAGTCGCCCCCCGGCTGAGCTGCCGATCCCGAGAGACTCGCATGGGGGGGGGCGCCAGCTGCAGTGGGCGTCGCCAGGGCAAACGCCGTCGACGCGGGCGACGGGCTCGGGTTCGAGCAACGCAGTGCAATCGGCGCGTGGGATTCGCACCTCCGGCGGGCGATTGGAACGGAAAGCGGCGGCGGCCTCGAGCAGGCGGCTCCGAAGGGCGTGGCTTGCAACCCGCGCCCGGGGGGGGGGTCGAGGGCGTTGAGGGGGATCTCTGCCGCGCCCCGACGAGGGCCCATCAAACAGTTGGCGTGCTGTGGCAACCCCCTACGAACCAAAGGCTCCGATCGCAAACCATAGCCCAGCGCGACCGCGCCCGTTGCAGTCGCCGAATGAGAGGCGGGCGGGGCAACCCCGCGGCGCAATCTGCTCGCGTTCCCTGGTTCCCGCCCGCGTGGTCATAGCGCGCGTGCTGCGATGGGTGCGGCGGCCCTCGAGCGCCGCGGCAACCGCCGAGCTCAGGTCGGTGGCGGCGTGCGCGTCGACGACGCCGCCGGGGTGCCGCCCCGCCCCCGCGACAAGCGGGGCGGAAAGCGCCCTCCCCGACACTGGGGCGAATCACATTGCCGTCGTCAGATCCCGAACCTGTAGCCGAGCAGAGCCCGGTCAGCTCGGGGGCTGGAGGGGCCCGCGCTTCCCCTGCAGCTGCCGTGGACCGCCGCTGCGCAGGCGATGCCAAGAACAGACTTGCCGCGGCGCCTTCCGCGCGGTGCCGCGAGGCTCTCGTCGCGCGCGGGCGCGAGGGCAGGCGCGTCATCCGCTGTGGTCGCCTAGCAGCTTGCGGCCGCAGGCCCCCTCTGATCCGTTCGGTGGGCTTGTAAGCGAAGGCGGGGTAATGCAGCCTGAGGACGGTGGGACAGGGCGCCTCGTCATCTGCGCCGGCACCCTTTCGTCAGCTACTCGGGTCTCTGCGTTGCTGCGACACTGCTTGATGTCATGGAGCTCAGGGCGCATGGTGGGGGTGGCGTTCGTCAGGACGCGGGTATGTTTGGACTGGTCGTGCTGCCGAATGTGGCATGCTCTTGTTTGTTTATGGCGAGCTGGGTCTCCACGTCGTCAGTGCAGAGAAAACGCCCGACGAGCTGGCGCTGTCCAGCGATGTTTTCGGGTGCAATTTGTTGTTCCGATTCGAAGTTACTGCAAGCTGCTTGACTCAACCCTTGACGATGGCGTGTGGCGCGTAAGTAGCCTTTGGCTCGCAAGCGCGCCTGGGCTCTGTGAGCTGCTGCCCTTGCGGCTGCGAACTCCCTGGTTACCTGTGTTGCCAGAAAGCAGCACGCAACCGCGACCCTGCGGACGCTGACGACGAGGACCTGCTCGAGGAGGGCCGTGACCGGCGCTGCCGATGCCAGGCAGCGCGGCGGGCGCAGACGGGAGCCGCGGATGAGGTCGCCGAGCACTTGAACCAGCATGGCAGCGGACGACGATGGCGATAGCGATGACGACGACGATGACGATGGCGATGAAGATGACGATGGCGGTGACGAGGAAGAGGAGGATGATGATGCTGACACTGATGCTGATGCTGATGATGATGACGACGATGATGGTGATGGTGACGATGACGACGAGGATGATGATGGCGATGATGATGATGACGATGATGATGGTGACGATGACGACGAGGATGATGATGGTGATGGTGATGATGCTGATGATGATGATGACCCGAACTATTGCAGGAAGACGAAAGGGCTTGAAGAGCAGGACGAAGATGAGGAGCAGCACGAGGTGGATTGACCAAAGGACGAACAAAAAAGACGGAGCAGGAGGAGCAGGAAAAGCAAGCGGGAAGAGGGTGGGAGGTAGAGGGAGGAATGACGGAGGGGAGCGAAGGCGTTCGGGAGTGGTGCGGAGGGCGGGCCGCAGAGGTGCAGCAGGACGGGCTCTCGGCACTCCTCCTCCTCCTCCTCCTCCTCCTCCTGCTCCTCCTCCTCCTTCTTCCCCTCCTCCCTGCGCGGCGGCAGAGTCTGCAGATCTTTCCAAGGGGTCCTGGGAATATCAGCTGCCGTCGGTTGCCACTTCCTCCTTCTCTTCCTCCTGTTCCTCCTGCTCCTCCTTCTCCTCCTCTTCCTGGCTCTGATGTTGCATGGGGGGAAATCTGCGAGATACCTGATGTTTTTTTCTTCTCAAGACGGCCTCCCCCGAAATCCCGACACGTTCCCCATGGCTTGTTTCTCATCCCGATCATCTTTTCACGTTCCCGTGGCCTGGCGAAGGCCCCTGGAGGCCGAAAACGGCTAGAACCTCCCTGTCGTATTTTACATTTTTTTTCACCGCGCCAGTAAGTCAGGTCCGGGGGGCAAACATCTGGTCCAGACCTCTCCTGGGAAGCGTTACGACCAACATTCGGGAGAAAATACAGCCGTGGCGATGAATCGTTCCGGAGGAACTCCAAACTGGCGACAATATATGGAGAAGGGTCTGCGTGTGGTAAAATCCGAGCCCGATTCCGACCATCGAATCTCCTGAACCGATGGGCTTCGGATTTCACCACGTGCTCGACGAATGCCGAACCGTACCCCCGCCTCCCATCGAACTGCCTGAATCGTTGATCCGCGAGGGTGGGGTTTGGATTTCGCTGCTGAGGTTGGCGCGGGGCAGATTCGGAGCGACCGTCCTTCCCAACCCTGGCTTCTGCTCCATCTCGTGGGCCAGCCGCCTCCCAACGTCCTCCGCTGCGCTGGCCGCCTCAATGCCCGCGGAGAGGGACCCGTGCCGCCTGCCGAGCTGCGACCGCCGGCGGCCGAGCTCATCCACGGCCGCGTCCTGCCAGAGGTGGCAATTCTGCAGATTTCGCGACATTGTGAAGATCCCACGACGGGACACTGGGTTTTTGGCAATTTTCGGCCTCCGAAAGGCTCTCGCTGGGCCCCGAGACCGCTGAAAAATGGCTCGGGATGAAAAACCGGTCCCAGGAAGGTCGTCGAGAGGTTTGTGATGAAGATGGTGGCGACGATGGCACTGGTGACGCTGGCGAGGATGGTAACGATGAAGATGATGAGGACTTGTGCTCGCGCGAAAATTCATATGTGTGGCAAAATCTGGTTGAAAAGCCATTGGGTTATCCTATATGTTTTTGAACATCCTTGTTCGATTACTTTAGAAGCCATTTGTTTTGAACGAATATGGACGTGCGCGTACAGTGGCGCGCGCGTGGCCCACATGGCCATGTTTGACAGAATTGGCGGGTGCGCGATACTTGCTGTGCTTTTCTCAAGCGCGCGTGTGGCCTGTATGCTCTGATTTGACAGACTGGTATATCGCCCCCGATGTTCTAACACATTCAGCGCGCGCGGGCATCATATATTATTTGTTGAGCGGCATATTGTTGTTCTTAAAGAGGTAGTCAATATCTATGTCTTTAACTTGCAAGAGACCGAACGGTTTGTTAATGACTTTGACATGCGCACGGCGGCGCGCACATTATATACATGTATGTAGGTATATGTTTATGCTTATGCATGTATGTATGTATGTATGTATGTGTGTGTGTAGGTAGGTATGTATGTATGTATGTATGCATGTATATATATACACACTTATATATACATATATGTAGGTGCATGTGAATATATAAATGTATATATATATATACACAAAGGATTCCCGCATCCCGCGCACTATCCAAAGGACGGCGAAAAGGTGGTGAAAGGGCGCCTTTTTCTTATTGCGAAGAGCTGGTTTCAACCTCTCCGGGCAGACCGCCCGCATTTGGCAGGGGCGGGAAAGCAAGGCAGGTGGGGGGAATGTCGAAGCTCAAAACCGCAATGGCTGCAGAAGGGGGGGGGGAAGAAAGAGGAAGAGAGAGAAAGAGAGAGAGAGAGAGAGAGAGAGAAAGAGAGAGAGAGAGAGAGAGAGAGAGAGAGAGAGAAAAAAAAAAAAGAGAGGGCCTGGAGAGGAGGGGTGGTCCCTCCGTTTCAGCAGACACAAACGAAAACATATTCACTCCGCATCCCGCGCACGATCTAAAGGAGGGCGAGGAGGTGGCGAGGCGGCGCCATTTCTGGTGGCGGCAAACTGGGTTCAGCCTCTCCGGGCAGACCGCCCGCCCGCAACCGCAGGCGCCCCGTAATTCATCGACCGCTCGCCGGACCTCTCACTCAAAGGGTGGAAGGGGGGCTCCCGTTGTAAGGGGCGCCCCTCGCAGGCACAATGGCGGTATTCGCTGTCCTGGGCAAGGGGCGCGGCAACGAACGGAAGGCTCCGGCGCTGGCTGAACCGCTGCGCGCCCCGGTAGTGGGCCGACCCTCTGGGTGCCATTCAAAGGGGGCGCGGCGGGGCATGCCGGCCTTCCGCGCGGGGTTTCCCGCCTAGGGCCCCGCGCAGGGGGAAGGTCAAGCAGTCTACGGGTTCCCGCGCGAGGGATAAGGGGGGAGGTGCGCCCCCCCGGGCGCGAAGGGAAAGGCTCAGCCGCGCCCGTGATCGCCACCTGCGCCGCCCCCCAGAACTCGGGGAGGGAGGCCCCTCGCAGTCCGCGGGGTCCCCTGGAAGAGGTTCCCCCGGCAAAAACGCTGCTTCACTCATCCGTTGGGTGCGAGGGGGGGCGGCCCCCCTCCTCTCCCTCCTCCGCCGATCGCTCGGGCTCCGCCCTGTCCTGCAGGCTCTTCGCCTGGAGGTGGGGGGCCCTGCGCGTGAGTGGCGTCGTTCAAATCGGGGGCGCTGCCCTCTCTGGCCGTGGGCGCTCCAAAATATATTGCGCCCGGCGGGCCCCGGGCATGTCGTCTCCGACTCCGTCGAGGGAGAAGATGGGCATCATCCCTGGGTGGTAGCTCGCTCTCGCCGTTTCTCCCTCCTCAACGGCCGAGATCTGCCGCGCCTGCGTCCACGCGCTGCCCTCTGGCTGGGCGACCTCGTCGAGCCGCTCCGCGATGGGGTCTGGGGCGACGATCCAGGTGCGGTCGATTCAGGCGGGAGGAGGAGGTCGTCCCAGCATGCGGGCACGGCGTCGCCCAGGCGATACCTGCCGCCTGGGAACACGTACTTGGCCATCTGCGATTCCCCCTGCGCCCCCAGGGGTGCTTATGCTCCCGCGTGGTCCCAGCTCTCCCATTCCTCCCCCAACATCCCCGCATACGGGGGGGCTTTCTCGAACGCCTCCGTGCTCGGGGGGGCTCGCGCGGCTGCCGTTCCGTCTCCCGGCGACCCTCCTCGCGGTGACTCGCCCAGGCCCCCCCCCCACCTGTCCCCCCGCCGAGGGGTGAACCCCCTCGGGCTGGATGGTTATCCAAGGATTCCCGCCGCCCGCGGGCCCGCCGGCTTCTCCCGACCCTCTCGTGTCTCCCGGGGGTGTGTCGCGCGGGGAAGCGGCCCCTTCGCCCTTCGACGTCGGACCGTCGCCCGACGGATCCGGCAGAAGAGGTCGTCCGGGTGGCGGTGGGTGCGCGTCGCCGTCGACTGGGAGAAATCGTTCGTGGCGGCCTCGTCCGTGGTCGGCCCCCTCCAATCGACGGGGGTCGGGGCCCCGGCGGGGCTGGGCCCCCCCCTCCGCGCCCAGGCTCCGATCGCGAAGGTCAGGGCGAAGGCGCAGAGCCTGTTCTGGAGAAGGAGGAAGGTGCCTCCGCATGCCGCGACTGGCGCGTGCTGGCCGCCGGGCCCCATCCAGCTTCGGCGCTCCTCTTCCGAAAGAGACAGCGGGGTCCATCGGGGGCCAGAGATGGCCCAGTCGCGGGTCCGGGCCCAGATGGGGGGGCCGGCGTCCTCGGCGGGGGCGTCGGCCTCCCCCGCTGTCCCCCGGCGTCGGCCGGCGTGCTCGGGTCCTTCCGCGGGCCCCCGTTGTAGCTGAGCGTCCAGCCGCCGCGCTCGAATGGGGCCCCGCCATCCGGCGCCCCCGCGACTTGGGGTGAGATGGCGGGGCCGCCGGGGTCTCCCCGCCGAAGTCGCCCGAGCCCTCGCCTCCTGCCCCGTTGTCGGGGCGGGGGGGGGTCTGGAGGGGGCAGCCCTGCTCCAAGGGCTCCGCGCCCGACTCCTCGCCCTCCCACCGTTGGGGCGGGGTCGGGGGGGTCCGGGACCTCCTCTCCGGGAGGGGCGTCGTCGCTCGGATCGACGATGGGCTGAGGCGGGGCTGAGTCGGCCTCTCCCTCCAATCCCTCGTCCGGGGGGTTCGTCGCGCCTGGCCGGCCGTGCAGGGGCGAGCCCGCTTCCCGGGAGTGTGGCTCCTGCGACTGCCCCGGCCGCTGTCCTGGCCGCGCGAGCGAGCTGGCTTCCCGGCGGGCGAGGGGGTCGGGGGGCTCCCCGCCCAACGCCCCCGCCAGGGAAACGAATGGTCCCCGTCCGCGGGGCCGCGTGGGGGGGCCCAGGGCCGCCGCTCCGTGCGCGCGAGGGGGCCCTTCGCTAATTGCGAACAGAAAACCGCAATGGCTGCATAAAAGGGGGGGGGGGGGGGGCGCCTGGCGAGATGGGGGGCCTTTTCGTTTGAGCAACCACAAGCGACAACAATTACGAGGCGCACTTGCTAGAGCGACGGACGTGCGATAATGGAAAAATCCAAGGGCTACTTGAGCGCGAAGTCAACAACTACCGTGAAGCTCGAGCCCGCCTTGAAATCGTCGACAATACTAATGGAGGGGGCAGCGTGCCATGTGCGCCGCAATCAGCCACGTGATCAGCGCGGTCATTCAATGCGGCGCTGGTGTGAGATGCAACCGTAGTCCACGTGATATGATGTTTGATTCTGTCAGAGATCTGCCCCGTCCCCGGGGCAATGGCCGCGCCTCGACGAGTGCGGGCGTGTCTGCGAACGACGTCGGCTGCATATTGAGGGTCGAACTCAATCGCGAAATATGCAGAATGAGCGGGTTGAAGAAAGGGGCGCAGGTGGGCAGCGTCGATGGCGGATGGGCCAGCGCGCCCGCCCAGACCGCTGCGCGGGCTAGTTGGATTTCGCAGCGCCGTCCCACTATGTGCTAGGACAAAGTGCAAGCAATTTCCTGTTTCAGGGGACAATGAGTCGCGGACGGAATTGAAGGCAAAATGTCGAAGCGTTTCCCCCCCCATCGTTGGAATGCTAACCCTCATCTCCATGGGCAAGGATAGCAGGGCTGCGGGAATCCGGCAGTGGGGCGTGACATGGGAAGGCGACCGCAAAACCCCGCCCACACTTGTTCTCCTCCCCGCTGAGAGTAGCACCGCCGTCGCGCGAGACCACCGCGTGAGCTGGGTGCTGGAACGCAGTGGCGGGGGGCTGTGGCGGCGGGGTGGCCCCTCGCGGAGGGCCGTCTTCCATGTCGTGCGCGAGTGGCGCGATGGCGCGCTTGACGCGCCGCGGCGGCGGGGGGGCGCTCGAATTGACGAAGTCGGCAGGTTGGGGAGCGGCAGGGCGCTCGAATAGATGAACGTCGGCAAATTGGGAAACGGGCCGGTCCAACTCCAAGCGGACGCGTCGATGGTGGCGCGCGTTCGCGCGTGCCTAAGCGGCGGCAACGTTGACCCCGTCGCAAATCTCGTGCAGCACATGGGGCGCGATGAGGAGAAAGGCCAGCGCGTTGACAGGAAACGATAAGGCCACAACGTGCGAGACAAGGAGAAAAGACACCTAGGAACTGATGCCCAGGAACCTGTTCAAGCGCCAAGAACGTGCCTCGTGGTTAACAGGGCAATGCCAAAGACGATGGTCGGTCGTCTCCGCTGCTGCCCCGCGTCGCGCGTCGCCGTCGCGATAAGTGACGCGTGAAGCGCGTGGCCGGGTCCACGGGCCACCAGAGGGGAGGGCGAGACCTCCGAAATGGAATTGGGCAGCATAAAAATGTTCCAATGCTTCTCCGTTTTCGGTGAGGCCGTTGGACAAGCTGACAATGTCCTTGGGCCCCCGCCTCGGCTCACTTCCCGCGAAGGCAAACCGAGAAACATCGCGTGACTTATGAAACTGTTCTTGCGCCTGAATGCGTTTGCAGAGGCCTGGGGAATCATCCCGGCCAGCATCTGCAGGAAGTTCAGGACGGATGGTAAAGGCGAACCTGCGACTCCCAGCTTTGAAAGCAGCGGCTGCGCACCAATCGATCTGGAGGGTCGAGCGCGCCCGCGATGGCAGCGTACGGGGGCCCAAAACGTATCCGACTGCGGTGGGCCCGTAGAACTTCCAGTCAGCTGGTTGAAAAATGTCTGCCAAGATAGCGCGATATAGTAATCGAACACCGTCGTGGATCGCCACGCCCCCCAACAGAGTTCTGTGATAGCCAGGCCTGATAAAATTGGTGAATGCTCTCGACCGGCCTATCGTGCAACCCTCGGGGAAACTTGGAAACTGCGCAGAAGAGCAATAACTGCCAAACAGCAAACTTGACGACGATCACGCGCGGTAAAACCGTGCTCTCCAAGGCGCCAGACGGCCCACGGGGCATCTGCGACTGCGGCGCCTCGTTGAAAGTGGGATAAAACGCGAGCAGCGTGTGGCCGACTGCGAAGTTGCTGAATTCGGCGGCCGGCCGCTGTAGCAGCAGACGTATCTCCCAGGACCGAATCGGTACCCAAATGCCGAAAATGCCTGCGTAGAGATACTTCTCGAAGACTCGGGTCAATACATCGAAGGATGCGGCGACCCGTGGGGGCGATAACGCCTCGAACGCAGTCAGGAAAAATTCAGATCAGGACCGCTGGCCAAATCGATGTGTTGAGTAGCCTCGAGTACGCGAGCCAACCCGCTCCAGGACGTAACAAGGACAAGATGGGCGTCCAGGTGAGAGAACTGCTTGGGTGTCAGTACCGCTTGGGGCACCCTCGAATGCCACGTGGTTGGCGTCCAATTGCGTAAGAAACAGAGCATCGGGCAACCCTGGGGGACGCCCGCCAACCCCAGAGCCTGTCAGGACGATGTCCGCGGGCTGGTTGTCCACGAGGAAGGATGCGCTCGAGAGTCTGGTAGTTGCACAGCACGTGGCCGCATATCGGTCGCCCAAGATGCTCCTTGAGCCACAAAAGGTTGGGAATATCAAGTCGGTCATCGCATTACTCTACATCCATGGATAGGACAAACCACGTGGTACTCGGCCAAGACGAGCTTGAACGAGATGAGCTTGCAACTCCCATAAGACATCTGGGCAAGAATGGTGCGGTACCGCTCCCGCGAGGCCAACCGGCTTCGAAATCATCACCAGGTCGCGAGCTGCTGTGTGCCGCCAGACCCAAAGCCGATACGTCACGGGTAGTGCAGTGAGTGGTCTGCGCTCGTCAGGCTGCGTGTCAGGGCCTTTGGGAGTAAGGGTCACGCCAACTATGCTCCAGAAGTGCGGCAAAAAACTCTGGTCATCAGCGGTGAGCACCCGTGCAAGCCGCCCCAAATAATCTTGATGAAGGTGATCAATCCACTTAGCGGCATGCGCGTCGATCCCGCTCGCGCTATCGGGGAGGAATTCGATGATGCGCTCCCCGGGGCGCCAAACACAGGCACAGCTGGCAAGATTGACAAATCAAAGGGGCGTCGTTGGAGAGGGGCTGGTGGTGGGACACGTTGTCGAAGAAGGGCGCGGTTCAGAAGAGAACGTACAACATCGACACACGATCCAGGCACATGAGATAGCTGAAGTGCGCTGGTGTTCCAGCGCTTGGCCAGCGAAGTGCTGAGTCTACGTGCCACTTCCCGTGGCAACATAATCATGAAGACGTTGCTTGACCCACTTCGCCGCCCCGTCTCGCGTGGCGACCCGCTGCCTCCATGATTGGAGGCGCTGGCTTGTGGCGTCGTCGATGATCGTGGTGATCATGCCGACGGTATGCTCGGCAGCATCGTGATCGCTGCAACGGACGTCGCGACGAGCCTGCTTCCACAAATTGTGGACTTTCTGGGCGCGCGGTCTGGCAACCCAGCCGCCGGCGGCCCTTTGGAGCAGTATCTGGGAGTCGGGGGCGCCGGCGGCAGCAGCCCAGGTCGCCCATGCCTTGTCGACGTCGGCGGCGATGTCCATGTCAAACTCGTGCTTGGCCTCGGCGGTCCACGCACCACAGTCGATCGGCTCGTCCACGGATCAACGAAGAGCTTCGTGCAACTTGGGAGTCGTGCTAGCAATAATGAACGAACGCGCATCGCGTGTTTCTTTGGGGCGAAAGGGGGAAGGAACGACACTGGTCGGCTGGGGATAATATCATTTGATATTCCGACTAAACGATCGCGCAAACTAAATATTCCCGTTGGGTACCGGGACCTGTCGCTGCGGGGTATACAGTTTTAATACAACAAACAAGAAACATGTGTGAACCAGGAAGCGCAAGCCAGCGCACGGGGTGGTCACGACGCGTCCACTGGGCGAAAAATCCGAGGAACCCATCCAATTACTGAACAATTAAAACAGAAGACAATTAGTGCAAGCACTGTTCGGGGAAACGCTGGCGCATGTGGCGGGCTTCTTCACAGTGGCTTTGAAAATCTCGTAGCCCGCTGACAAAATCGCCGACGCACCAACATTGCTTTGAAAGAAGTGCGGCCTGCGGCGACTTGACTGTTCCGAAAAATCAAAGCCTGCTTCTAATCAATGTCCCAACATAGCGCCAAGGCGGCCCAAGATGGTGTCTAGCAGCCCCAAGGCGCGACCAACACCGCCCTGGGTTATACCGAACGGCCCCAAGTCGGCACCAAGATGCCCCCATGGATCCCCAAGATGGCCCTCGCATGCTTCTAAATAGCCGCAATGCTGCGTATAGCCCCACAAGCCCAACAAGGCTTAACAACAACAAGGTCGTTCCTTCCAAGATGGCTCCGCTTGGCTGCAAGAGGCGCAACCATTCAGATATAGATAGTCGGTCCCGCAAACGATGCACGATAAATATGCCCGCGATTAAATCACTCCGCTTGGAACACAAAGAAATGTCCGCCAATCGGTCTTCGCGCTGGGGTGTGCACGGCAAATTAACGTTGCGATGTCGTCGGCGTTGGTTTCTGACACCGCGCGGATCGTTCAATCTCAAGAGGAATCGCGGTTTTCCGATAGCGCAAGCGTTCAATATCGGCCGATTCAGGACCACTGGCGGCGTTCAACTTTGAACGCCCGCCGCTGGGGTCGCCGCCGCGTCGACGTGGCGCGAAACTGTCGTACTCCTGCGGCAGCCCCTGGGAGGCTGCGGAGGTCCCCCGAGGCTGGCCGAGGTGTCAAGTGGCTGGCGGCGGAGGTTCTCGAGGCCCACTGCGGATTACAAGCGTCTACGAACCTCGACCCTCGATCCTCGAGCGGAGGAGAAGAAGGATGAGGAGGAGGAGGAGGAGGAGGAGGAGGAGGAGGAGAGGAGGAGAGGAGGAGGAGGAGGAGGAGAGGAGGAGGAGGAGGAGGATGATGATGATGATGATGATGATGATGAGGAGGAGGAGGAGGAGGAGGAGGTGGAGGAGGAGGAGGAGGAGGAGGAGCGGTCCTTGTCTCTCTGCAGCTGGTCGAGGCTCCCCTTGAGCACTTCGTTCTGCAGGGCGGCGTCTTCCAGCTCGCGCCGCATGCTGGCCAACCTGTCCTGCAGGTGCGCCCCCGCCCCGGCCTGGCCAGACACCGCCTGCTGGTCGAGCCGGTCCTGGAGCTCGTCGCGCTCGCGCTTCCAGACCTGGCGCGCCCCGCTCCAGCTTCGATGGAGAGGGCGACGCTGTGTCTTCCCTCTTCCCCCTGTCGTCCCCTACCGATTGGAGTCCTCCTCCTCCTCTTCACTTTCTTTACTCCTGCCGCCTCCTCCTGTTCCTCTTCCTCCTTCTCCTCCTCCTCCTCCTCCGCCCTCCTCCTCCTCCTCCTCCTCCTCCCTCCTCCTCCTCCTCCTCCTCCTCCTCCTCCTCCTCCTCCTCCTTCTCCTCTCCTCCCCGTCCCCGCTCTCCAAGGCCCAGGGCGAGCTGCCCCTCCTTCCCTGTGGCCTGGCTCTCCTCCAGCTTGCGCTTCAGGGTCTCGAGCTGGGACTGCGCCCTCTCGGCTCTGGCGGCCTTACCCCGCTCGATACCAAGCTTCTCGTTCAGGTCGTCGATCTCGTCGTTGAGCATCTGCACCTGTGCCTGAGGCACGGAGCCTAAACAGCGGGTCTTTCCACTACGCTCGCTGTGGGATGCGGGGGGGAGGACAAGGAGAAGGACGAGGACAGGAGGACGGAGAGGAGGGGGGTGATGTGAGCTGGAGGGAAGGAAAAGGAAACTGAGCAAAGGAGGAACATAACGATGAAGAGGACAAGGACGAGGAAGAGGACGATGATGACGAAGGCGGAGGATGGGGAACCCTTGGTTCGTTTGTTGGTTGGTTCGAAGTACAAGACAAAGAGGGCCTCAAAACGGCTCCAAGACGGCTCCAAAGCAGCCGACCCTGTCGGCGTGTGTGAGGGGTCTGTCTGGTCCCGTCGACGGGACGTCTTTTCTGTTTCTCCTTCCCCGTCGGGAGGGAGGGAGTTCTCTCCCGTCGTCGGGGGAATGAATCTGGGGATTGAGGGAAATCGACCCACGTCGAAGTCACGTCAAAGGGAAGCCCCTTTCCTTTGTCCCTTCCCTGGCGGGGGGGGCGTCCCGGGGGGGAGGGTCAGATTCGCATCGCCTCTGGGGGTCCTCCTCTCCCACGCAGGTCTTTCTCAGGCGCGCCGGTTCTCCTCGGGACCTCCTCCCCAGGTGGGGAGGAATCCCAAGGGGGGGGGGAGGGAAGTCAGATACGCATCCGTCAGTGGGGGTCCTCCTGCACCTCCCTTCCCCTCTCCCACGCTGGTCCTCCTCTGGTCCTCCTCCCCAGAGGGGGGGGGTCCCAGGGGGGAGTCGTTTTCCTCCTCCTCCTCCTCCTCCTCCTCCTCCTCCTCGTCTCCGCCTCCGCCTCGGCCTCCTCCTCTTCCTCCTCCTTCTCCTCCCCCTCCTGGTCGTCGTCGATGTCTTTCAGGGTCGGCGGCGCTGGCCGTCAGACCTTCGCAATAGCCTCAACACCGCCCAAAAGGCCCCCGACACGGCCCCAGAAAGCTCCAAGAGGTCCTTAAAGGAGGGCCGAAAAAACCCGATGTATTGTTTTCTCCTTAGGTTGTTGAAAGATTTTCGCGATCTCGCCTTCTACGTCAGGCTTCCGACAGCCCACGACGGCCCCAGAGACCTCCAGGATAGCCCCGAGATGCCCCAAATGCTGTCCCAAGATGTTCCCATAACGGCCCTAAAGCGCTCCAAGCGTGGATGGGGTCGACGCCCCCAACCCCGACGCCGAACCCGACGCCGACCCGGGCGCCGCTGAGCGCCCATGCCGACGCCGACCCCGACGCCCAGCACCCCGCCCGACGACGCCCACCTCGACGTCCTCCCCGACGGCCTCTCCACTGCCCTCCCTGGCTGCCCTTTTGGCGGTTCTCGCTGCGCCCCGCCCCGCGACCCTCCTGACTGCCCACCTCGCCCGCGGTGGCACGATGACCTTGGTGCGGACGGGCTGTGCGATGACGACTCCGCCCCCGCCTTCTCCGCTGAGCACGCGAGAATTTGTCCGCGCCCTGCAGCGCGCGGGCGCGTCCCCGCGCTGGAGGAGACGAGGGCGGGCCCGCGACGCCCTGCGGCAGCCTGAGCGACGCCCGCGGCTCCGCCCTCCCCGCGCGCGCGGGGTGCTCGCGCTGGGGGCCGTCTCGAGTGCCGCCGCGCCCTGGCGGGGGCGGTCTCCTCCTGGATTGCCGGCGACTCTGAGGAGGCTTTGAGAAACAGTTTGCTGTGGTGGGCCTGGGTCGCCGAGCATTAGTGCCGCGCCGCGCCCATCGCCGCTCCGAACGGGCCCCGTCCCCGCGCTGACTTCCCCGCCCGCCTCCTCGGCCAGATCGTCGATTCCATCGGCTTGCCGTCGCCAGGGCGCTCCGGCGAGTGGTCCCCGAGCCCCTGCTTGGAGGCTGGCCCCCCCCTCGCCTCCGCCGCCAGCTCCCCCCGCTTGCTTTGGCCTGGGAACGGCAGTGCCGTCGCCGGGCTGCCTGGAGCTGACTGTGCGCGCGGCCCTCTGGCTTGTCAGGTCTCGGCTCATGTCATCGGCGAATCCAACGTCGATCGCCTCGTCGGCGTGGAATGGTGGAGGTGGGCCTCTGTGTGGCGCCCCCGCGCCCCAGGCGAACTGCCGCCGCGCGTCCTATTCCCGGCCGCCGAGCTTCGGCAGCTCCTCGACGCCTATTTCAACCGCCCGATTCCCTGCCCGTTCCTCCGGAAGGCTTGTCCTAGGACCTCGCTGGCGAGGCGCGCGCCCCCCGCCCCCGCCCTGGCCGGCGCGGGCGGCCCCGCCGCTGAGCTTCCTCGCGGGCCCGTCGCCCGGGGCAGCATGCCCCTCCATGGGCCGGGCGCCTGCCGTGTCCACCCCGGCGGCAGGGTGGCGAGCGCGGCGGCGCGCGGCGTGCGCGCGATGGATGGAAAGATCCGGTGTATGTTCCCCCGAGCTTTGCGCCCCCATCAAGTGTCACGGTTGCCCGCTTGGGGCCCGTGCGGGCTTGCGAGACGACTGGCGCTCCCGCAGTGAACGGCGCGCGGGATAGCGACGACATGGCACCGGCGAAGAACAGGATGAATGACATTGCGCAACTGAGGAAACGCGTGAAAATGCGCGAGGGAGAAGGCGCCGATATGTCCCTCCATGGTGGGGCCCGGCGCCTGCCGAGCCCACTCCCGTTCGACCCCTCGCTCTCCGTCCGCCGTGGCAACCCTGGCGCCCGAGGCGCGGCCCCTGTCGGTGCTGCGCGCCCTTCGCCTGCCTGACCCCATCGCCTCCCGCTGGTTTGCCAGTCGCCCGCCTTCCTGACGCCCCCATGGCTGTGATCTCCCGGGACGAACTGGCTCTCGTGGCAGTCTGGGTGCTGCTGGGCTCCGGCAAGCTGGGCTCTGGCGCGCCATTGCCCGTCGAGGCGACCTCTCATCCGCTGCCCCCCGCGCCCTGTCTACGGCGCTCCTCCGCAGCTTCCTGGCGCGCCCATTCGGGCCCGCGGCGGCCCTGCTGCTCGCGTCCCTGCCGCGGGGTCGCCTCGTGGCTACGCCGCGCGCTCCACCGTGGCTCGTCGGTCTCCGTCTTCTGTCTGCTCCGCTGCCCCCCCCCCCCCCCCCCCCCCCCTGCCCTGCCCTCTGGGCCTTGCGCGTGGGCGCCCCCCCGCGCCCCCCCCCGCATTGTCGGCGTTGGCGAGCAGCCTCGAGGTCTCGATATCGTCCTGGTCGTGAATGGCAGTTCTGGTTAGTTATCTCGATTCTATCTTCTTTTCCTCCGCAGCTCGCCAGCGTCGATGATCTGGGGCGATATCTCGCTGTAGCCCCTGGTGGGCTGTGGAATGCAGTGGGGTGCTTCAGCGCAGTGTTGCCAGACTAGGCAGGTCCAGTAGCGCCTGCCAGAGTCAAGGGCGCCATGAAGCCACAGCGCCAGCGGCGGGGAGTTAGGCGTCGAGAGGGGGCAGGTCGGATGGGCTAGGGAACTGCAAATAACTACACGCGGGGAATTTGTTCTAGCTGCAATCCGACCAGCTGCATTTTGCAGAAAGAACGGGCATCGATGATTTAGCCTCAGCACGCGCGAGCCAGCTGCGATATGACTATGACGGGCCTCGACAAAATCAACCGTGTTGTCGCCCCGAGGCTCGTCGAGGAGAACTGGCTTATCCTCTGGCAAGTCGAGGCCACGTAGGCCTCGCTTGCGTGCCTACTCGACCTTCAAATCGTGCACCAGCGTCCAATGGCTCCTGGCCATGAAAACGTCGAGAAGCTTCTGCGCCTCGTATTTGATCATGGTACAGCCGTCTGCTACTTGGGCGTGAGATTGCGCCCGGCGCTCTTCTGCACCGCACTCGGTAACTCCTTGCTTGATCGCCATGCGCTCGATAGCGGAACGCTTGTGACTCAGGCCCAGTGCTGAACTCTCCGATCCCTCGCTGCATCGTAGAGGCTCTTGCAATCTGTCGCCAGCACGCTCTCTGGACCAGTCCTGATCACCTCGTAGCGCTTGTCGCCCTTCAGCTGCACGTCCGCGTTCAGCATCTCCATCCAGGCCAGCTGGGTGCACTCCAAATCCTCGGCAGCCTCGCTGGCCGCCTGGATCTCGACTCCGAAGGAGGAGCGACATTTCCTCGTCAACTTCCTCGAACCTCCAGTGAACACCGTGAACTTCTGCTTCTCGCCTTCGAGCGCTGCCTTCTCCGTTGTTTGGAGCACGTAGCCGCCTTGGCGGCTGCCATCCGCTCGTGAGCACCACGAAGCGTAATGCCAGCACGCCCATGCCGTATCCTTGTAAGGATGAACGGGGGCTCCAGTTCCTGCGAACTCGTGAATCGCCTTGGCCATCTGGTTGGTCCTGCCAGGTCCTTGACCGTCGCATTGTTGACCAGTGCCTTTAGCATGGACGCGTATACTGCAATCTGCGGCATCGTCTGGCTGGAAAACCATTGGGCTTGTCCGCAGATAGCCCTGCACGCCGTGATCTCGTCTGCCGTCAGCCTGGAATCCGGGTCGGACTTCCTGTAGCGCTTGATGTTGATGGGCTGCGCGGTCTTCGCGTACTTCTCCAGGCTGAGACGCCCATGTCGGGGCTCCTAGAAACCTCCGCACCGCAGACAAAGTAGCCCTCCTCGTCGGATTTCCACATGCCCCACCTGTGCAACGTCTTGAGATGCTCATACCCGGCCCTGAACTCCATGTTCTGGTCGTCGCCCGTGATCTGGACATCGTCCACGTGCACGAGGATCATCCCGATCACGTTGCCCTTGGAGCCTATCCTGGTGGACAGACGTGGCTCGAGCTTGCAAGCGCACCAGCCCCTGCTCTCCAGATCCTTCTAAACATTCTCAAATCACCTCCTCGGTGCATTGGCCAGTCCGTAGCATGCTTTGAGGATGTGCACAACGTCGTCGCCATTCAGCTTGAGGGCGTCTCGAAGATGTGGCGCTGGTAATGCGTGCAGCTCTCGCTCTTCTTCTGTCACTTCACCTTTAAGAAAAGCCGATGAAGCATCTGCCGACCAATATGTCCATCCCCAGCTAGCCGCCATCTGGGACAACGTCATCTGTGATCTCCTCGAAGGTGTCGGTCACTGCGTCTTGAGCGTC